GGCGTGTGGACGCACGGGCTGCGCTCGCTCTGGCTCCACGGTCCTCCTCCTCCTCCTCCTCCTCCTCCTCCTCCTCCTCCTCCTCCTCTCCTCCTCCTCCTCCTCCTCCATTATCCCTCCTATCTCCTCTCCTCCTCCTCAATTATCCCTCCTTCTTCTCCTCCATCTCCTCCTCCTCCTCCTCCTCCCTCCTCCCTCCCTCCATTATCCCTCCGCTCCTCTCCTCCTCCTCCTCCTCCTCCTCCTCCTCCTCCTCCCCTGTTCCTCCTCCTCCTCCTCCTGTTCCCCCCCTCCTCCTCCTCCTCCTTCTGGTGCTCCTCCTCCTCCTCCTCCTGCTGCTCCCTCCTTCCTCCTCCTCCTCCTCCTCCTCCTCCTCCTCCTCCTGCCTGCCCTCCTCCTCCTCCCTCCTCCTCCTCCTCCTCATCCTGTCCTCGTCCTCGGTCCTCGGTCCTCGGTATTCGGTCCTCGGTCCACGCGCCTCCCTCGCTCCTCCCTCGGTCCCCCTCGCGGTCTTCTTCCTTCTTCTTCTTCTTCTTCCTCTTCCCTCCTACCTCCTCCTTCTCCTTCTTCTCCTCCTCCTCCTCCTCCTCCTCCTCCTCCTCCTCGCCTCCTCCTCCTCCTCCTCCTCCTCCTCCTCCTCCTCCTCCTCCTCCTCCTCCTCCTCCCCCTCCTCAGGCGCCAGGCCGCAGGAAGGCACAGGAACCCGGGGGGCCCGTCCACAGCCCCTTGCCGGCAAGAAAAGCGGGGACCCTTCGGGCACAGCCTCGTGGGGGTGGTGGAAAGCGCACATCCGACAGCAACGCCGGCAGTCGGCTCAAATCGCCCGCTTGCGTCTGACGCCCCCCTCTCGCCAGAGCGCCTTCTGCCCGAGCTCCCTGCCCCCTCTGCAGAGCGTCGCCCTTCGGGGGGCAGCGGCGGCGGTGACCGTCGGGGGCAGCGCGGCCCCAAGCACCCGACGAAACGGCTTTTGCGATTTCGGTGCACGGATTCGTTTTCGACCCGCCAACGGGGGAGACCAAAAGGTACCCAAGAGGCCTCCAGGAGGCCCCAAGAGGCGCCCAGAGGCCCCAATATGCCTTCAAGCGGCCCCCCGGAGGCCCAGAAGAAGCCCCAAGAGGCCCACAAACGGCCCTCAAGAGGCGTCCAAAGTGCCTCCAAGAAGCCCCCGAGAAGCCTCCCACGAGATTCCAACGAACATCAAATAGGCTTCATGCCCATAAGCCAGGCACGATGGCGGGATAGGCCGAAGGCCATTAGATACCAATACCGCTACTCCCCAGACCTCTCCTGGGGTGCCGAATTCAGCGGTGGCGACGAGGGCCTCCGAGGAGGAATAACGGGCCCGGGAGGCCCGTTATTCGGTCCGAAAAACCGGGACTGAACAAAAATCGGATCGTCGTGAAACTGGGGCAGCGGCAGCGGCAGCGGCAGCGGCAGCGGCAGCGGCAGCGGCGGCGCGTTGGCCCGCGCCTTTCGGCGGCGGCGGAAGAAGAGGAGGCGGAGGAGGAGGAGGAGGAGGAGGAGGAGGATGACGAGGAAGAGGATGACGAGGAAGAGGCGGCGGAAGCGACAATGGCTGCGGCGTGTGGCGCCCAGACATGCGACCATCTGTGAGGGCCCTGGGGCCCGAGACAAGGCAAAGTCGCACGTGGCGAACACAATGCGACGTCAGATCGGCCGTACTTTGGGCAATTTCGCGCAAATAGGGCGGAACCTTCCGCCCCACTTTTCAAGCCCCTTTGAGACCGATCTCCGCCCCACTTTGGCGTCGCTATTTCCGCCGAACTTTTACAGAACTATCCGCCCTGCTGCTCTGAGGCGGAAGGTTCCGCCATACTACCTATTTCGCATCCTTCGAGATGCATTCACAACACAATCGGAAATCGTACAATCAATTGAAATACTGCGGATCCCATGTCAGAGCTGCACAGTTGTTCGACGGTCCGGGGGCCCTGCGAGGGCCTTCCTGGGCCGAAAACAATCAAAAACTTAGCTGCCCCGATACGCAACACGCAACACGTAGCGCATTGATGCGGAACTCAACACGTGGGCTGAAAACGTAGGTCCGACGCGATACATCCGCCAAAACGTGGCCCAATACGTGGAGCCAACACGCAACGTATCGACACGGACGTCTTGAACACGGGACGTGTTGCGTATCAAAACGGGCGTATCCAGGCAGCTAAGATCAAAAGACGTGCGGCCTGTTCGCGACTCGAAGGGGTCGTCCCCTCGACCTGCACCTTGCGCGCCCTCCGCGCGGCAGGTGCGGTGCTGCCGGAGCCGTCGCCGCGAACCTCTTCCTCTGGAGATCTGTGGTGACGGAAGGAGAAGGAGGGGGAGGAGGAGGAGGAGGAGGAGGAGGAGGAGGAGGAGGAGGAGGAGGAGGGGGAGCAGGAGGAGGAGAAGGAGGAGGAAAGAGAGGGGGAGGAGGAGGAGGAGGAGGAGGAGGAGGAGGAGGAGGCGGAGGCGGCGGAGGAGGATGGAGGAGGAGGGACAATGGGAGGAAGGGGGGATCATGTAGGATGGGAGGAGGAAAAGGAGGAGGATGCGAGGGGAGGAGGAGGGGATAATGGAGGAGGCGGATGATGAGGATGATGATGATGATAGATGAATGAGGAGGAGGAAGGATGGGAGAGGAGAGGAGGATGAGGGTATGGAGGAGGAGGAGGAGGAGAAAACGAATAAGGAGAACGCGGCCGTCGCCGCGGCCGCACCGCGGCGGCACCCTCCCGTGCGGGGTCCGCGGCGGTCTGGGGCGGCCCTCTCGCTCGGGCGGGGCTCGACCCCTATAGAGGTCTGAAACCCTTTCTGGACCAGAAAGCAAACGACATCCCCCTCCTCCTCCTCGTCCTCGTCCTCCTCCTCCTCCATCTCCTCCTCCTCCTCTTTCTCCTCCACCTCCTCCTCCTCCTCCTCCTCCTCCTCCTCCTCCTCCTCCTCCTCCATCGTCCTCCTCGTCTTTCTCCTCCTCGTCTTTCTCCTCCTCCTCCTCCTCCTCCTCCTCCTCCTCCTCCGCCCTCCTCCTCCACCACCCCACCCGCGGTCCCACGGGCCTCAGCGCATACCGTGAATTCTGGCTTGGGCTTCTGCGTGGTACACGCTACGGCGCCCAATGGGCCATAGCGCAACATGGAGGGCCGTAGGTCGGGTGGTGTCGTTTGTTTGTTGGTCGACATTCCAGGGGAGCTGTTCATGTGAAGGTCGTCATATTCGGCGTTTCGACGTTGGGCGGAAGTGGGGGCGGTGTGGGAGGGTCTGGCTCTGGACCTTTGCTTAATGCGACTGTTTGTAACAGTGCGTCCTACGGGGGAGGCTCCACCTGCTCGAAACAGGGGCCAAATATAGCCAAGCTCTAATCCATGCGGGGGGGGAGGAGGGGTGCGAGGGCCTGCGCCGATCGGCAAAACAATGGATAAGAAAACGATCACCATGCTGACGAGTGTTTCTTTACAAATGCCGAGGCACGGCGCGGAGCCTCAGAGGCCGAAAGCGGCAAGCAACAACAAAAAAACACTCTCGTCGCGATCCCTTCGCGACGCCAGGATCTCAGTTCTGCGGCGGCGGCCCTCCTGCGGCGGGCCGCTGGGCGGCAGAGGCGGCAGCGGCGGCGGCGGGCGACGGCCATCTCCGGAGATCCGACGCTGCAACACAAGTTACCGTGGGACGCGCGGAGACATACTCTGATACTAGAAGTCCTCGACCCTCGGAGGCGCGCGTCCGACCCGAACATACAGTATACCCATCTTGTAGTTCATCGCTTCCCGAACGGTGTGGCCAGAAAGCGCCCGCCACGACGCATATACTATAAGATCTCTCGGTGCGCACGTCGCCCATGGGGGGGCGACGCACACATAGTGTTAATTAGCATGTTGGGGTGATGCCGATACAACACTGCGAACAAAGCACGACCGGACCCCCAAATCCATGCTTTCTGCCGCGTTCTCCTTGCCAGATCGAGCTGTGATGGCCCCGGTGCCCGAACCCAGGGGCCTTCCCCCAGGACCCCAGGGCCTTCCCCCAGGACCAGTTTTTCAACTTGGGTCCTTTTCTTACAATCCCGGGGCCTGTGGAGGGCCCGGGAGCCCGAAAACGGCGAAAACCTTCAGTACCCGTCTTCCCTTCAGGACCCATGGCGAAGAATCGCCCGCGGCGAACACATGGCGGCGCCAGGCTCTCAAAAGACGGCCCCTGCAAGTCCCGATCCTTTCCCTGAGTCCTGTTTTGACGGCCCGAAGGCCCGGCGAGGGCTCCCGGGGGCCCAAAGCGGCCCAAAACCTCCCGCCGCGACTTTTGCTGCCAACGACGCGATCCTGTCTGGCATCGCCCGCGGCGGACACCTCGCGGCGCCGGGCTCTCGGCGGACGGCCCTCCTGCGGCGGCGGCGGCGGGCCCAGGCTCCCGACGTCGTGAGTTTTCCACAACGTCGTCCCCACGATGATGATGATGATGATGATGATGATGATGATGATGATGATGATGATGATGATGATGATGATGATGATGATGATGATGATGATGGTGATGATGATGATGGTGATGATGATGATGATGATGATGATGATGATGATGACTCTCCACAACGCCGTCCCCACCCCCCCCGGGACCGGTCTCCATCCTGAATCGTTTTTGTTCGACGGCCCCGAGGCCCGGCGTAAGGGACCCCGGAGGCCGACAATCGCGACAAGCCTCCCGTCGAGATTCTCCTCCCAGCGCGAGGAGGTCCGGGCACCGGCCCTCGGGAGCGTCAGACCACCACTCGGGACGAAAGGGACCATCCCCGGGGAAGGGATCCAAACAGCAGGAGATCCAGACCGCGACGGGGTCCAGACAACGACGACGACGACGGCGGCGACGGCGGCGACGACGACGACGACGACGACGACGACGGCGACGGCGACGACGACGGCGACGACGACGGCGGCGCGGTCCTCCTGCGGCGGGCCAGCCGCCCGCGCGCGCGGCGGCGGCGGCGGCCACGCCGCAGGCGCCCGCCGCGCGGGGCGCGCCGCGGGCGCGGCCGGTGCGCATGGCGGGGCCGCGGGCTCCCAGGCGGGGGCCGCGGCGGTCAGCGGCGCGCCCACGGAGGCCTCCTTGCGGGGGCGGCGGGCGCGTCGTCGTCGTCGTCGTCGTCGTCGTCGTCGTGCTCATCGTCGTCGTCGTCGTCGTTGTCGTCGTGCTCATCGTCGTCGTCGTCGTCGTCGTCGTCGTTGTCGTCGTCGTCGTCGTCGTCGTCGTCGTCGTCGTCGTCCGTCCGTCCGTCCGTCCGTCCGTCCGTCCGTGCGTCCATCCCAGAAGTAAAATGTAAAACCGCAGCGGCGAGGAAGGGAGAAGGGAGGAGGAAAAACAACAACCGAACGGCAAACCGAACTCAAACCCAACTCAACGAGACCTCGCCCACACGTCGTGCAGATGGGGCCCTTCAGGGATCGACCCGAACCGTGCTTGTCGCCCTCGTTGTGTCTTCGTTTCCGCTCGTCTAGCTGAAGAACAAATCCCATAAACACAAACTGCTTGCGCTCTGCGCGGATTTCTTGGATCTGCGCTGGGACCCTCCCGGCGGCGCCTCCGGCGCCGCCCCTGGCGCGCTCCGCGCGCAAGGGAGGGGGCGCCAGCGCAGATCCACGAAATCCGCGCGGAGCGCCAAAAGTCTATGTCTTCGCTCGTCTTGTCTTCTTCGCTCGTCTTGTCTTCGGTCTTCTATGTCTATGTCTTCTTCGCTCGTCTTCGCTCGTCTTGTCTTCTGCGCTCGTCTTGTCTTCGCTAGTCTATGTCTTCGCTCGTCTTGTCTTCTTCGCTCGTCTTGTCTTCTTCGCTCGTCTTGTCTTCTTCGCTCGTCTTGTCTTCTTCTTCTTCTTCGCCAAAAGTCTATGTTCATTTATGTTTGTTCTCCTTCGATCGCCTTGTCTTCGGTCCGCCCCTTGGCTGCAGGACGAGACCGAAACGAAAGCGCCCCACGACCATCGCCCGAGCACCGCTTCGGTCGACTGGAGGAGGAGGAGGAGGAGGAGGAGGAGGAGGAGGAGGAAGGAGGAGGAGGATGAAGGAGGAGGCCTTAGTGATTTATGGAGGTATTTAGTCGGTGAGGATGTATTGAGGTGCGTGAGTGAGGAATGGTAGGGAGGTAGGGCGGTAGTGGGAGTGGTAGAGAGGATGTGATGCGGATGGGAGTGATTCATATGTTTCTTTAGGTAGGAGGATTCTTATGATGATTATTAGTCGTGAGGAGGAGGGGCTCCTAGGAGGCCCTTCGCTGGGCGGGGCCCCACGCGGTGGCCCCAGGCACGCCGAGGGGGGGGGGGAGCTCCCCAGACCCCAGGCGTCGTGACTTTTCAAGAACCCTGAAAACCTGGCGTGGCATTTTTTGTCAGAACCGGCGTGTCAGCTCAACTTCGGGCCCCGGGACCCTCACAGATCGATCTGGCTCGAAAAATGAGGCAGGAAGATGGGGTCCAGGGCTCCGGTCGTGATTATTTGAAATTGTTTGCGATGTTGCATTTGTTTGCAACGGCGGATCTCCAGGAACGCCCACCCCCAAAGGTCTGCAACCCCTTCCCCGGGACCGGCTCGTCCTCCTGAGTCGTCCCGTTGACGGTCCCGAGGCCCAATAGGCCGAAGATAGCGAAAACCCTCCCGTGGTGAACGTTTCATCCGGAATCGTTTTTCGATGGTCCCGCAGCCTGGTAGAGGGCCCCCGGAGTCCGAAAATGTAGCAAAAAGCTGCCCGCATGTGGCGAGGCCGTTGACGGTCCCGAGGCCCAATAGGCCGAAGATAGCGAAAACCCTCCCGTGGTGAACGTCTCATCCGGAATCGTTTTTCGAGGGTCCCGCAGCCTGGAGGAGGAGGAGGAGGAGGAGGAGGAGGAGGAGGAGGAGGAGGAGATTAGACGGGAGGATGAGGAGGAGGAGGAGGAGGATGGGGCAGGAGGAGGAGGAGGAAGGAGGAGGAGGAAGGAGGCCCTAGGAGGAGGAGGAGGAGGCCCTCGCAAAGAGCCGCCCGCACGTGGCGAGGGGGGCCCTCGCCCGAGGAGGCCCTTCGGGGCGGGGCTTCCGCGGCGCCCCCGGAGACGCCGAGACAGGGGGCGTCGTCGTCCTCGTCGTCGTCGTCGTCGTCGTCGTCGTCGTCGTCGTCGTCGTCGTCGTCGTCGTCGTACGTCGTACGTCGTCGTCGTCGTCGTACGTCGTCGTCGTCGTCGTACGTCGTCTTCGTCGTCGTCTTCGTCGTCGTACGTCGTCGTCGTACGTCGTCTTCGTCGTCGTCGTCGTACGTCGTCGTCGTACGTCGTCGGAGCCTCCGCAAGGAGCCCCTGGGTCAAGGAGGTCCAGGGCCTGGACGCTGGCCGAACACCAACCAGCCGAGGCTCCCGGAAGCGGGGCCCCGCCAGGGCCCCGCGTGCGCTGGGGCGCTCCGCCCGCGGCGTCGGCGCGGCGGCGGCCGCACGCGACCGCCGAGCAAGCCGACAGCCAACCAGAGCACCACCTCCACCTCCTCCTCCTCCTCCTCCTCCTCCTCCTCCTCTCCAGCCCAACCCGAAGACCCGAATTTCGGGCTAGCGGCTGGGGGGGGGCGGGTTCCATATATGTGTGTGTGGTTGCAATGTGTTTGCAATGTTCCCCGACGCCACCCCACCCACTGGGGATGGAGGGCAACTTGGTGCCTTTCGGTTGGGTTGGGTTGGGGTGGCTTGGTGGGTGGTGGCAAGCAAAGGCGCCTTTTCGAGAGAGAGAGAGAGGGCAGAACATCCCCCCCTCATAGCAAGCAGCCCGAAAAGCGAAGCTGTCCCGTTAACGCACCCAAGGAAGGAATCGAAAGGGGCAGGGCTGTTGAGTAAACGTCCAGGGCCGCTCACTAAACGCAGGTTATCGGGGTCGGGGTGGCTTTCGTCCCTTGATCTTCAGACACAGCACGGTGAGGACATTGGATAAGGAGCCCTTAGATGAGGAATCCAGGGTCTGGAAGCCGGCGGAACACCAATCGAGGCTTGGCCGTGGGTATCACCGCCGTAAGGAACACTCCAGGGTCTGAAGCCTCCAGGGCACATTCCTTAACGAACGTCCCCACCGTAGTACCAGACGACCCTGGCGAGAGTGGCGAGCCAGAGCAGCGCCGCCCAATCCGCGGCGTTGGAACGGATGCAGACAACGACGTGCATCATTCCCTGACACGTTGCCGGCATCAGCGACGCGGCCTATATTCCCCTCCCTCCGAGGCCGCCCTTCCTTCTGCCCCACACTGCCGTGCGTGCAGTGCGCCCAGCAACCCCGCTCTCAGGCTTCGAGCGCGTTGTGCGGTCGCCATCGCTGCGACGACAATGTAACGCTCCTGGACGTCGTGGTGTCTGTCGCCTCCGAGCCCTGGCGTCCGCCCATCCGGCTTTCTCAGTCCGCGGCCCTCAGACATTGATCCTCGGGCGGGTGGTAATGGAAGGGTGACCCAATTGGGGGGGTTGAAGAGAAAGGCCCTGAATGGGGACCTCTCGGGCCGCTTTTGGACACCAGCTGGCTCCGAAAGGGGCCCGAAATGGCCCCTCTAGGGCCCTCTTCTTCACCCCCACTCTGGGTCGCCCCCGAGCCTCGAGATCCTCGAGCTCCTGGAGATTCTCGAGACCCCCGAGCCACGAGGTCCTGGAGCCTTGAGGCCTCGAGCCACTTCTACCACTTCGACCCCGAGACCCTCCCACTGGTCATAGCAAGCGCGTGTGTGCCAGTCTGACTGTTGCCATTTTCGCGAGCGTGTCAAAGGCACAGCTCGATTTGCCTATGCGTCCTCTCGGGTGCACGGCCTTTGACTGGCTGACCCCGAGACCCTCGAGCCTCGATCCCCCTGCTGCCCTCGGCAGCTCGTCGAGCCCCGCTCGGACCCTTTGGTCCTCGAGGCCCGCGGCCACCACCGGCACGCTCTCCGACCCTCCCCCCTGCCATTTTTGCTTATTCCCAACCATCCTGTGGTGTTGGGTTCTCGTGTTGAAGAGACAGCGCCCCGCGTCCCTCCTCCTCCTCTCCTTCTCCTCCTCCCCCTCCTCCCTCCTCCTCCTCCTCCTCCTCCTCCTCCTCCTCCTCCTCCTCCTCATCATCCTCCTTTTCCTCCTCTTCCTCCTCCTCCTCCTCCTCCTCCTCCTCCTCCTCCTCCTCCTCCTCCTCCTCCTCCCGCGTCCCCCCTGCCGTTGTTGCTTATTTTTCGTTGGTCGGCCCGCGCCCCCAGGGGGTCGCCACTCGAAGAGATCACCGGGCGCGCTCCACCACTCGCAACGTGCCGACGCCGAGTTTCTTGATAAGCGTCGGGGGGGCCTCACCCCCGCCGACAGCCCCACATCGACCCCCGTCGCGGGCAGCCACCGCGCGCCGAAGGCGCTCCGACCCCCGTCGCAGCGCGACGATGAGGCGAGGTTGACCCCCGTCGGGGGTACCCCCCTACGCTTATTGATAAAACCAGAGTGCTCGCAGATGCCAAGAAAACACATGTCCACCTCTATGTCATGGATCGTGAACCCCTCGCGGCGGATCAAGGCCAACTGCGAGCAGTTACGTTGCGAGTAGCGGAACGCGCATGTTCGGGGAAGACTGCCAGCCGAACAGCAGCATGTCGTCAGAGATCTGCGATGGCTACCCACCAAGCAACCCAAACCCAACCCGACCTCGCCGTTCGGCATATTATTTGCTTATTTCTTATTACATCTTCCAACATCCGCCTGTGGGAGGACATGCCCGACCTAAACCAAGCCACCCCAACCCTACCCGAAGTCGCCCTTGGGCCTGCCAATTTCCAGTGGGGGTGGCGTTCTGGAGCATCGAGAAAGCACGGTGAACCCCGTGCAACCCCCAGCCCGAAATTCTGAGGGAGGATGTCTGGGATCTTCGGGCTGGGTTGGGGTGGTTTGGCTAGCAAGGGTGGGAGCGGCCCTCTCTTCGCATCTTGGCAGTCCCCGAACGTGGTGGTGACAACACCCGCCGGTGAATCTCGGGCGATGTGGTGTCGCCACCCGGTTCGGGGACCCTCGTGCTTTTTCGGGGATGACCCGAACGCTGGTGGGCTCAGGAGTCGCAAAGCCCGGCGGCGACCCCGTGTCCCAGAACCCAGCGGGGACTTTTGCGGGATCCAAGGTCACCACCTGACATCTCACCACCCGGCTCGGGGGCTCCCAAGCATCTGGTCTGGGATGGACCACGCCGCGCGCTGCCGGAGCGGAGATGAAGTACCAGCCCGCGCGCGGAGGCGGAAGCGGCAACGAAGCCCGCACGCTCTCGTGGCGCGTGCATCGAGCGGAAGCCAGAAGAAGGGCCTCGCAGAACAAGGCAGATACGGATGCAAACATTCGAAGCGCGTGCTTATCTGTCACATGAGCGCCAAAACGGAACCGGTCGTACGCGAGAAGACATAGCGACCTTACGCCGCGGCTTACGCGGGCCGCCAGCCTGGCACACCGCGTGGGCAAGCGGGCGCTTACGCCGCGACCTTACTCGGGAAACTTACGAGCGATTGTCCTCGCAATCGACCCCTGTTTATTCCGTCGGTCGCATTGGTTGCCCGATTCTGCTATCTTGCCAACTTCTAGGGGGCACCTGCCGCGATGGCACACTCCCATCTTCCGCGAGCGGAGAAGGCTAATTGCGGTCGAGGTCTCCCCTCCGGGCAACGCAAACCCTTTAGGCGCCGATGCGTTCCTGCCTTCTGATATACCCATCGCATCCGAAACGCGTGTGCCTCCTTCGTGCCATGAGCTGCACGACCCTGACATGTGACGTCTTGATTGTTGCCCAACGCGGTCTCCAAAGTCCAGAAGTCCTGACCCTACGTATTCCCAAGGGCTGCTTATTTTTTGTCCCGAGTCGTTGCTTGACGGTCCCGGGGCCTGGCGAAGGCCGAAGGCCCCCAGAGGCCGAGAACGACCACAAACCTGCCGTCGTGATTTGCGCTGCGACGCGAGCATGTCTGGGATCAAGTCTGGGCCGCCGTCCACGACGGCCGCAGCATCAGGCTCCCCGCTGTCCTCGGCTGCGCCCTCCAGGCTGCCGAGCGGTGCCTGCGATTGTGACTCGCGCACTTCGCCCAGCAGGACTCCCAGGCGCGGGGGAGGGATCTCCCCGCTGAAGAGCATCGCCATCAAGCACTCGCCCCTGAGCGAGTCCACCCACTCCTAGACAGAACAAACAAAACGGAATCAACCTGTAAGCTTTCGCAGGACCGCGTGGGTTCCTTGGGGTCGCCACGAGGGGGCATCCAGCGCCGAACGAAGAGGCCAGCACATGCCTTCGAAAAATTAAGCATGTGCAGCCTTTGAATTTCAGTGCGGGGTCCCTGGGAGTCGCGACCCTTTCCCCGGGACCGGTTTTTCATCCCGAGTCGCTTCTTGACGAGCCCATGGCCTGGCGAGGGCCCCCCGAAGCCGAAAACGGCCGACAGCCTCCCGTCCTGATTTTTTACTACGCAATCATCTCTGGGCCCAGCGGTGGCGAAGATGGCCTCCCAGAAGGCCCCGAGAGGGGAAAACGAGGGAAGGGTAGCAGTATGGGTATCGTTTCCTCCTCTGAGCCTCTGTTCGTATGAGCATCTCTTGACCTGCCTGACCTGCCGCCATCTCCACTGGGAAAAACTTTGGCCCCGCTGCTCGACCGACCAATGGTGGGGACAGGTGCCGTCCCCGTCCAGTTTCGCGGCGTCCATCCCCACCTCGATGGGGCAGGCATATGAGATCTTCCAAAAAGGGCCTTGCCTTCGAGGATCGAAAGAGTTGCCGCCTCTTCCTCGGCGGAAGGCGGCGGAAGGCCAGCGGAACGGAAATGAGACCGCCTCCGCTGGCGGAAGCCGGCGAAGCAAAAGTCGGGCTCCCGAGAGAGGAAAAGTTCAGGGTATCCGAAATTGCCCACGTGGCGCTACAGTTAGAAAACCCCGGATTTGCTAGGGATGGGCTTCCCCCCCCAAAGCCAGCGAAAACCCCTCCCAAACGCTCCCGAAACTCTCCGAAGAGCCTCCCAGGACCCTTTCCGGAGGGCTTTCGAAGGGTTCCGGGAGGGACATGGCTGTTTTGCCAAGGAAGCCAGTCCCTAGAGAACCTGGGACCTTGTCAGGCTACGAAGCCCTGGCCTACTGGTGATGGGGCCAAATCTGGCAATTTTATGTTACATCCTCGGGGGCGTCGCGGCCTTGTCCGCGTCAAATTCGTGTCGAATCGACATCGGACTCGTCGGATCCGTGTTGAATCCATGTCGACTCCGCGTCGAATCCACGCCAAATCCACGTCGAGTCCGCGTCGAGCCCGCGCTGGCACAGGAAAACACGCACCAATTTGGGGGACAGGCGAGACTTCCCGAAGATGCAACGTGAATCTTCGAGCTCCACGAACTTGTCCGCCAGCTCGAACTCTCTCCCGTCTGCTGGCCGGACCTGGGGGGGGGCGAGAGCTGCCATCGCTCGGACGTCCATTCCACGTCGGAGAGCTGCGCGATCGGCCGTGACCGCCCCTGTCCAACGCGACTGTGCTACCTGCTTCCACCACTTCTCGCGCCGAACCCAGCAATATTTTCACGTCGGCGACTTGCATTTGGAATCGTGACTTCATCTACCACCTCGCTACCCTGAAACTACGAGCTGCCCATGATTATTTACCACCCTGCCTTCTGCCGCGCTGTTGTCTTTTCCCTTCTCCGAGGCTTCAGTTTCAATGGAAAGTGGGCGCCAGTGGTAGGTGGGCCAACTAAGTTGTGAGCTCCCGAACACACAGTTACTACGAATGTTCCCACGCTCGATTCAGGACCGTCACACGTCATAGCATTCACCTCGTCTGATCAGCTACAGCTAGTTTCCTCGACGAAGCCCACTCCACACCCAAGTGCCTTGCAATGGCCTTCCTTCTGGCACATCAATCCTGAACGCTGCATGTTTTGTTTCATTTCAAACGCCATGTGGTTTCCCATTGTTGTTGGGGTCTCCCAGGGGTTCTCCTGTGGGTCTGGCTGGTCCAAGCTTACCTCCTAACGTCTGGGATTAATTTCTGGTTGTGGTTGCCCGAAGGTACATTCGCTTTGGTCACCGTTCGTCTGCCCCACTTGATTTGCACTCTTGGCGCGGTTAGCTGCCACGTGCCCTGTCTGGCCGCGTTTGTAGAATTCTCGCTCACTCATAGGCGCGTGTCCTTGACCGCTGGGCTCACCAACCATCAGGTACGTTATTTTGCCTGATCCCTTGTGCCCTCCGTAGCTTCCTGTGCAATACCCTTTTGACATGCCTTTGCAACCTTTTCCCTTGCCGTTGTTTTTGCCTTCACCTTTGGTTTTGCAATTCCGGTCTACGTGGCCCGCTCTGCCGCACTTGTGGCATACCACGATGCCTTTTCCCTTTTCCGACGCTAACTGCATCCACATCCCCGCCTCCCCAATTTTGGTGTTCATCCATTCCATTGTGTCCGCCATCCTCTGATGGCCACCAGCAGCCCTCATCGCCGCACTCCCATTGGTGTCGCCCCATCTAGATGTCCGGCTCATCTCGTAATTCCTCGTTGCTGGCTTTCCCAATGTTCATGGCATCGCTATTCTGGTGTCGACATCGAACCACATCTTGCGCGCCCTCTCTAGCACCTGAGATACAGTTTCTGACATGTTTCACTAGTAAGTGAATCGGGCGTCTTGAAGCAGTCCTGCTACCAATCATCAAACCATTATCCTGCATGCGACCTTATAACTTTCAACGCCGTTATCTTGAAGGGGAAAAACATCTCATAGGATTTACCATACTGCTCCAAATGCCCCACCAGCACGCTCCACTGATCAACTTGCACTGGCGCGTAATCCAGCTTATTTGGTCTCGGCGTTCATGGCTGAGCTTATCATTGCTGATTGGGTCACCCTGGTTACGGCAATGTACCACTTGTCTGTTTCATGTTGTCGATTAGTCCTTCACCCTCTCGTGGACCGTGCACGTTACCTCGTGCCTCGATGCTCTCCAGCTTCTCTGTGAATGCGCACCACAAGTCTTCATCCAGGCTATTAGTCTCGTCCTAGTCCAGGTTTCTTTAAGCTGGCTGCTGTCATCCGTCCGCTCAAAATTCTGCTAGTATCTCATTCTTCGCTGGGTATTGGAACCTCTCCATCCATTGTTCCCAAGTTTGACCTCAATATGTTGAGCGCCTTGTTGTTGTCGTTGATGACCTGGGCCGCTGCGTTGGGTAATCGCTCGCTCCACTCATGGAACTTTGATATGCATCCGTTAAAGCTTTAAACAGTTGCATGGCTTTGGACTCGCTTGTAGATATTTGGGGCATCTTCTTCCTGGTGGATCTGACGGTGCCGGTCACATGTGCGAGTATCGCGCCCGTGCTCATGGTTCGGCATGTTTTCACAACTCTGCCACTCTCGGCCTTACAATCACAGTTTCTGTTTCGTGTCGGTTCTCGCGGTTGGTTAAGCTCAGCAGCGCTGCGCTGGACTTACCAAACACCTTCATTATTGTAATGGCATCGCGTGCTCGCTGGATAACTCATGTTTTTTCCTGTGCGTTGTCGCTCGTCCACGTAACCCGTCATTGCTTTGCGACTTGCCTGATAGGCCGATTTGGCGAACTCGTATTCGCCTTGTTGATTAGCCGTGAGGCAGTTGACCCTGGAATTGGTGAGGTTGCACTCGGGCCACTCCTGTCTCGTAGTTCGTACTCCAACTCCTGGTCTCGCTGCCATGACCTCGCTTCGCCGACATGCAGATGTAGCAACATGTCGGCAACGGGAACGGACATCCTCCTTCATTGAAGTGGACAGGGAACGAGTACGCAAGAGCCCATGCCCCGACGTGCGGCGGTTACGAATCCTGGGCCCAACGCTAACGGTTGCCCAGTAACCAGGTGTCCTACATCGACAAATCTCGTCGTCCTCCTCCTCCTCCTCCTCCTCGTCCTCCTCCCCTTCCTCCTCCTCCTCCTCCTCCTCCTCCTCCTCCTCGTCCTCGTCCTCGTCCTCCGTCTTTCAAGATGGTTCTGGAACCGAGCCGAACCGGCCGAACCGAACCGGGCCGAACCGAACCAGCGCAAACTTGTTTTTATTTTCCAATGGGAACCGAACCGAACCGAACCGAACCAGAAAATTGCGACACCGAACCGAACCGAACCGAACCAAGACTCCGAACCGGGCCAAACCTCCCCCCGCCGAACCGGACCGAACCAGACCGAAACGGAAAACTGGCCACGGAGAGAGGAGGGGGGAGGAGGACAGGCGGCGACGACGACGATGACGACAACCCCCCAGATCTGGGCGCTGTGAAAAAAACACGACCGGAGGTTTTTCGCTATTTTCGGCTTCTGGGAACATCGAAAACCGACCCAGGATGAAAAACCGGTTCCGGGGAAGATCTCCAGACCTCCGGGGGCCGCTGGCAACATGAACCCAACACGACCCCAAGAATGATCGCGTTTCTGCCGGGGAATCCTCGCAGCCCCGCGGGACCAGCGAACCGAATAACCCCGGGGGCCAACTCTCGCCAAACCGGGGCGCAACCACCGGGCAAAGCCCACTTGGGGGAAGCAATGAAGGAGTGGGTCGGGGTCCGAACGGCCGACGTCGCTCGCCGACGTCGTCCGTCGTCGGTCCGTCGGTCCCTCGTCCGTCGTCGGTCGTCCTCGTCGTCGGCGACGTCGACGTCGGCCCCTTTGGTGCCCCCCCGCGCGAGGGCAGGGGGCCGCCGCTGGGGTGCCCGGGTTCCCGCGGGAACCGACCCACGAGCAGTCTGCTGCAGCCGCCCGGACAAACCCCCCTTCTTTGGGGCCCCGTTGGTGTTTGGGGCCCTTTTGGGGTCTGGGCCCCTTTGGAGCCCCTTTGGTGTTCGGGGCCTCTTTGGGGTTTGGGACCCCTTCGGGGCTCCTTCGGGCCCTCTTTCATCAGGGTTTGGGGCTGCTTTGGGGCCCCTCAGGGGGCCCTTTGGGGTTTCGGGGCCCCCTTTGGGGTTCGGGGTGCCTTCGGAGCTTCTTTGGGCCCCTTTGGGGTTTGGGGCCCCTTCGGGGAGCCTCTGGGGCTTGGGGCCCCTTTGTGGCCCCTTTGGGGTTTGGGCCCCCCCCTCCCTCTTTTGGGCCGCCCTCCTCGGCGAGGGCCCTCCCCTCGGACCTCGGAGGCCCCCAAGGCCACTGAGGCCAGCGGCGGCCAGCAGCAGCGGCAGCCAGCGGCAGCCGTTTGCGGGCCCCGGGGCCACGGAGGGGTCCACGGACTCAAACAAAGAGGACGAGAGGTCCCCGAGAACCACGGCCGCGGCATTTTTTCGGCGCCCGACCAACGACGCCAGACCCGACGACCGACGACGACGACGACGACCACGACGACGACGACGACGCCGGCAGCGAGGCACCTCGCCGGGCGCGCCGGGTGCGCTGGGGCGCGCCGGGAGTGTCGCCCCGTCTCCTCCTGCTCCTCCTCCTCCTCCTCCTCATCCTCCTCCTTCTCCTCCTCCTCCTCCTCTTCCTCCTCCTCCTCCTCCTCCTCCTCCGAACCATCAGCATCGAAAGGAGCGCAACGAAATCGGATCGGCTGGGGTCGGAACCGCTCCTCGACGGCGATCTGGTCGGAACCGGACCGAACCAAAACAGAAACTGGTCCGAACCAGAAACAAACAATAAACGTACCGAGCCGAACCGAACCGAACCGGAAAATTACGACACCAAATCCAACCGAACCGAACCGGAGGCGCTTCGGAACCTAACCGAACCGAACCGAACCGGCGCTTTCTTGGTCTTTGCCGGTGGCAACCTTAGACCAGCTGGCATCGTACCGTTCGTCCTCCAACTCCTCCTCCTCCTCATCCTCCTTCTCCTCCTCAATTCCCTCCTCCTCCCCTCCCTCCTCCCTCCCTCCCTCCTCCTCCTCCTCCTCCTCCTCCTCCTCCACCTCCTCCTCCTCCACCTCCTTCTCCTCCTCCTCCTCCTCCTCCTCCTCCTCCCTCCTCCTCCTCCTCCTCCTCCTCCTCCTCCTCCTCCCCTCCCCCTCCTCCCAATCCTCCTATTCCCCTCCTCCTCCTCCTCCTCGTCCTCCTCCTCCTCTTCCTCCTCCTCCACCTCCTCCTCCTCCACCTCCTCCCATTCCTCCTCCTCCTCCTCCTCTCTTCTTCTCCTCTTCTCCTCCTCCTCCTCCTCCCTTTCCGCCTCCTCCTCCTCCTTTTCTCTCCTCCTCCCTTTTCTCCTCCTCCTCCTCCTCCTCCTCCTCCTCCTCCTCCTCCTCCTCCTCCTCCTCCCCTTTCTCCGCCTCCTCCTCCTCCTCCTCCTCCTCCTCCCTTCTTTCCTCCTCCTCCTCCTGCTCCTCCTCCTCCTCCCGCTGCCCGTGGAGGACCATGATCTGCGACACCGCGTCGTGGCAGGGGGCGCCACTTCGCACCGTCGGCCCCGCCGCGCCGCTGCCGGCGGCCGCCCCGGCGGCGTCGGCGGGGAGGCACACGCTGCCCGAGTAGGGGTGCGCCTCTACGAGGGGCAGCGTTAGGGTTGGGTCGGACATGTCCTCCTACACGGCACGGCGCGTGCTGCGTATCACAACGGGCGCATCGAGGCCCGGCCACGCGCAGATGGGGGTAGGGAGAGGGGGAAGGCTTCGTAGAAGGAGACTGCTTCTTAGAAGGCGCGGGCCTTCTCTATAGAGGTGAAGCCGTCGCCTTCTTAGAATCAACCTCCTTCTAAGAAGCCTCCCCCTCCGCCTACCCTTCCGTCGGGCATGTCCTCCTACAGGCGGGTTTCGGAAGAAACATAAAAAGGTATACCAAAAAGAATCCAAAACATCAAAGGAGCACGAAAGAACGTCACCTGACTATTTTTTACTACCTTTGAGTATTCCTCCTGTAGAGGGACATGCCCGACTTAACGCTAGGGGGGGAAACTGGCGGGTTCGACCTGCGCCTCACCGAGAGGCCCCGGGTGACTGACCCGAGCGGCAGCGGAGGCCCGAGTATGATCCGAACGGCCGCCGGAGGCCCGAGTGGGGGTGCGCCTCCATGAGGTGCAACGATAGGAGACCCAGATCCGCTCAAAATCTGTCCCTGGACCCACCCCTCCCCTGGGGCCTCCCAGGTGTAGTCCGATTAGATGTGGTCGGAGGGTCGCGCCGCATCTCCAATGCATAATCGATGTAACGGCGGGTGCATCGACTGTGCGTCGGCGACGTCGGCAATGCATCGGCGCAGTCGGCGTGGAGAAAATCGGGCTCCACATCGAGCCGCATCGCCTATGCATCGGCGATGCGGCGCGGTCCTCCGACCCCATCTGACTACTCGGACAAGATTTGTGGGAGGCCTGGGCCGTCCTGACTGAGGGGCAGCGATAAGGGGCAACTGGCAGAGGGGGTGACACATCGACCAGGAATCGGCGATACATCGCCGATAGATCGGCGATGGGGCCCTGATGGTGAATCCGCACGCTCCTGGACGGGGTGGGGCGATCAGACCCCTATCGGCGATCCATGGGCGATTGGGGGTCGATGCGTTACCCCCTCTGCCTCATTATCCGCCTTGCTACTGACTCCAGAGGGAGGAAGAAGGAGCAATCCGGGTCACCCAACTTCGCGCATCGCGCCCCGCGACGCGCGAGATCCAAGCGTTGCCGCTTTTTTCATCGTCGGGGATCTACTGTCCTGGGTTAAATTCAAACCTGGGCCAATCGGGCCTTGCAAGATCCTGCAAGACCCTCATGATCCTGCACCCTAGCCCGGATCAATGACCCCTAGACCTGCAAGATCTGGCACTCTGGCTGACCCCCGTTTGTATCAACCCCGTCTCTTGACCCAGAACTTGGCGCTTTCGCCGGCATCCGGGACCATCAATGAGGGATCCAGCGGGGCTCGAACCATGAGGCGGAACAATGGGGTCGAGGGCTCCGGCCGGCGGCGTCGGCGAGAGGGCGCACGATGCCCGAGTAGGGCCGCGCCTCTGTAGAAGGAAGAAAGAGTAACCGAGATCTCCGACGATCTTTTATGTTCTACCATTTGTTCCCCGCATTTCGGCCCTCGGGGGCCGCTTTCGGGCTCCAAGACTGTCAAATAATGATCCAGGACGGTAAATCACCCCAAGGGGAAGCCACCCCTGGGGGAAGCGGTCGGACCTCCTCAGGGCCGTGGAGCGGCAAAACCAGATCGGCGGACGCCAAGGACCTGGGTGGCCCAACTTCGCGCATCGCACCCTGCGATGCGCGACGCCGACTATCTTCGCGCCCTACTCGAAAAACAGGACAGTATATCTTGCGCGACTACCGCAGAATCGGCGGTGGTATGCAAATCAGCGTATGGCCCTTCGAAGCAGCGAGGATCCCGCAGAAACGAGGCGGAATACGACTTCATCGTGAGGCTTCCCGGCGCCAGACAAAGCCAGGAGAAATCGACCGCGTGCCATGTGGCCAGTCGGTAGCGCGCACACCAACCATGTGGAGGAACAAACAATCTAGGTCACCCAACTTGGCGTATGGCGCAGCCCCGCCCGCGATGCTCGATTATCTTCGCACCCTCGCGCTACCCCCACGAGGAAAAGGCCAAACTCTCTGGCCCTGTCCGCGACGCGGGAGGCGCGATGATCGTCGCCCCACCGCGGGTGACCTAAGCAAAACACACCCAGAGCTCGCACGATAGGACTGTTCCAGTCCAGGCGGTCTTCCTCGATCCTGGCCTCGGCGGCCCGCTTCTGGGCCCGAGAACTATTAAAAGTGGGCTTGGGGCGGAAAACTGTCCCTGTGGGACCGCGCACTGAAACCCACACATCGTCGCATAGATCGAGAAGAAGAAGAAGAAGAAACAACGGCATAAACATAAACTTTTGGAGGTCCGCGCGGATTTCTTGAATCCGCGCCAGACCCCCCTCCCCGGCGCGCGGAGCGCGCCAGGGGCGGCGCCGGAGGCGCCGCCGGGAGGGCCCAGCGCAGATCCAAGAAATCCACGCGGAGCGCCAACAGTATATGTTTGTGCCGTTGTTTCTTCTTCTTCTTCTTCGAATGCAGTCAACCCGTTTAGTAAGGATGCGGGATAAGGATGCAAGGCCCTTGGATGCCCATTTCGGAGCTCTTCGAGCGGGGCGCGGCCACCGAAAGTGGCCAAGGACGGACCGAGGCGGCGAGGATGCAAGGCTGCCCATCCCTATACTCTGCGGGTTGACTGTACCTGGGCACGCGGCCCAAACGGGCATCGGAATCTGGAAGCACGCGCGGCGGCGCTCGCGCGCGGGACACCCGGAGGCCACACGCCGGGCACGGCACGCGCGGAGCCCCCTGCGCGTCCGGCCACAGCCGGGCCGAGCGCCGGCCAGACGTGCGGCCACGCGTGCGTCCAGCTCTCGCCCAGTGCAGGCCACGTATCGTGCGCAGCCAGCTCCCCGGCAAACCCTCGAGGATCTCTTGGACCGTGACCGCCCTGGGCCACCCCGGCCCTGGCGAGACAAGAGCCACGAGGGGGAGGGGCCCACGCCCATGCCCCCAAAAAGGCCGCGCGGGCCCCAGAAAGATTCTGCGGTCCTGCCCCAGGCATGCGACGCCCTGGTTTTCTCAATGCGGGGTCCCTGGAAGTTCTGACCTTTTCCCTGGGACCAGTTTTTCATCCCGAATCGTTGTTTGACGGTCCCGAGGCCCGGCGAGGGCCCCCTGAGGCCGAAAACGGCCGAAGACCCGCCGTCCTGATTTCCTTACTACGCGATCATGTCTGGAGCGTTTCTGTCTTCTTCGAGCCTCGTCGTCCGCCTCGATGGCCTGGCGGTTGGCGCCCAAGAACACGCCGTCCCGCTGGCCCTCCCGCCGGAAGTCCTTGAGGAAGAGGACCAGCTCGCCCCCCACGTGGAGGTCGTGCGGCGCTTGCCCTGCGTCCTCTCGGCCGCGCGCACGGCCCAGACCCCCTCGCGCTGTGAACAAAAATCACGACGGGGGGGTTTTTGCTATGTTCGGCCTCTGGGGGCCCCTGTTGGGCCTCGGGACCGTCAAGAGAAGACTTCGGACGAGAAACTGGTTCCGGGAAAGAGCCAGGACGTCCAGGGACCCCGTGTTGGAATAAACCTGGACGACGGGGAAGGCCACGCCGACGGCGATGTTGGTTGGACGGCGAGGTTGGGAATTTGGCGACGCCGAACTGGCGCAGAGGAAAAGGTGGGAGATCACGCACCACACCTCCCGACACTCCGAAAGCGCGGATGCGTCGAGCGAGCACGGCACGGCGAGCTGCAGGAAAGCACGAGCCGCGCGTTTTCACAAGCGGGCTGGCCACACGCCACCCCCGCTTGCCTCCTCCTCCTCCTCCTCCTCCTCCTCCTCCTCCTCCTCCTCCTCCTCCGCCTCCTCCTCCGCCTCCGCCTCCGCCTCCGCCTCCTCCTCCTCCTTCTCCTCCTCCTCCTCCGCCTCCTCCTCCTCCTCCTCCGCCGACTCTCCTCCTCCGCATCCTCCTCCTCCTCCTCCTCCGCCTCCTCCTCCTCCCTCCTCCTCCCTCCTCCTCCTTCTCCCCTCCTCCTCCTCCGCCTCCTCCTCTCCTCCGCCTCCTCCTCCTTCTCCTTCTCTCCGCCTCCTCCTCCTCCTCCTCCTCCTCCTCCTCCTCCTCCTCCTCCTCCTCCTCCGCCTCCTCCTCCGCCTCCCCTCCTCCTCCGCCTCCTCCTCCTCCGCCTCCTCCGCCTCTCCTCCTCCTCTTCCTCCTCCTCCTCCTCCTCCTCCTCCGCCTCCTCCTCCTCCTCCTTCCTCCTCCTCCGCCTCCTCCTCCTCCTCTTCCTCCTCCTCCGCCCCCTCCTCCGCCTCCGCCTCCTCCTCCGCCTCCTCCTCCTCCGCCTCCTCCCAGCTTCCCTCCTCCTCTTCCGCCTCCTCTTCCTCCTCCTCCTCCTCCTCCTCCTCCTCCTCCTCCTCCTCCTCCTCCTCCTCCTCCTCCCCTCCTCCTCCTCCTCCTCCTCTTCCTCCTCCTCCTCCTCCTCCTCCTCCGCCTCCTCCTCCGCCTCCTCCTCAAGCACAAGCGGCTGCGGGTGGGTTTCGCCTGTTTTGGCTTCAACTCGCCACGTAGCTGTCCTCAGCGCCTCGCCGTGGCGTGCTTGCGGCAACTGGGAGGATCCTGCGTATTCCATCGGCTTCGCTGGTATGCAGTATTCGACTGGTCGGCTAAGGCTGGGGGAATTCAGTTTCGTGCGTATCCTTTTCTGGTGTATTGGCTGAGCCTGGCCCAGGCCCACGTGGCAAGCAAGGCGCCCTCCTTTATACTGGTCTGGGATGTTTATTTTTGTTCCTGCGAGTGGTCTGGTTGCGAGGCCGTCTGCGGTGGCTGCGATCTCAGTTTGGTGCCTTTCGTCGCAATTCTGAGCGTTGGGAGTTCGAGGTTGCCCGATGACCAGTGGGATGTACTTGTTCCTCTGTGCTTTCCGTTGTAGTGGACCGTATCGAGCAGACCCCGTTTCGGCTGAGCCGCCATTTCCTTTTCAATGGAACCGTTCGCATGTGCGACCTAAGCGTGGTCTTGGGATGGAGTGAAATCTCAGTTATCCTGGTGTTCCTGGTGCTGGCGTGAGGGACTCGCTCGTGGTGTCGGTTTGGTGTCGTTCCACGTACGTCCCGTTCAGTGACTCCCGCTTCTGGGTCGCGTCGTCCGTCTACCTGCTCGCCTTCTTCCACGGGAAGCTCAAGGGGAGGTAGGTGCTTCGACTTCGCGTCGCGATGGGGCCGATTCCGATTCCGACTCCTCCGCCTCCTCCTCTTCAGCCTCCTCCTCCTCCTCCTCCTCCTCCTCCTCCTCCTCCTCCTCCTGTTCCTCCTCCTCCTCCCTCCTCCTCCTCCTCCTCCTCTCTCCTCCTCCCTCCTCCTCCGCCCCCTCCTCCTCCGCCTCCTCCTCCCCCTCCTCCTCCGCCTCCTCCGCCTCTTCCTCTTCCGCCTCCTCCTCCTCCTCCTCCTCCTCCACCTCCTCCTTCTCCGCCTCCTCCTCCGCCTCCTCCTCCTCCTCCTCCTCCGCCTCCTCCTCTTCCGCCTCCACCTCCTCCTCCTCCTCCTCCTCCTCGTCCTCCTCCTCCTCCTCCTCCTCCTCCTCCTCCTCCTCCACCTCACTACCTCACTCACTCACTCACTCACTCACTCACTCACTCACTCACTCACTCACTCACTCACTCACTCACTCACTCACTCACTCACTCACGACATCGGGCTCCTCCTCCTCCCTCCTCCTCCTCCTCCTCTTCTTCCTCCTCCTCGTGCAGTGCCGACACCCGCATCGCCGCTGCCCGCATCGCCAACAACGCGCCTGCGGCCTCGGTAGGATGGGGCCTCCGGTCCGCGGCCTGCCGGCCGCCGCGTGCGGCGCGCCGACTGCGCGGTACGCAGGGGAACCCCAGATAGCAATTTGACCAGCGCGGAGGAGCCCTGTGGCAAAGCGGGGGAACGACGACGAGGGGACGACACGACAGAGAGAGCGGGGAGGGGGGAGGGAAGGGAAGGGAGGGCGAAGCCGCCCGCCCGCCGGGCGCCCGCTCAGCGCCGAGGCGGGCACGCAGCTCGCGGCCAGCGCGGGCCGCCGAATCCCAGAGAGTACGCAAACTTAGGTCGGGCATGTCTTCCTACAGTCGGATTTTGGAGGCAAGCTCGAGAAAGTGTCAAAGAATTCAGCGGTAGTCAGAAGAGCACCGACAATCCTCACCAGGCTATCTCTAAGCTGTTCTTTCATATGTCCTATTCCTCCTGTAGTAACAGCATGCCCGACTTAAACAAAAACTTTCAGAGGTCCACGCGGATTTCCAGGATCGGCGCTGGACCCCCCTCCCTGGCGGGCGGAGCGCACCAGGGGCGGCCACGAGAGGCGCCGCCACGGGGGGGTCCAAGCGCCAATCGCGAACTCCGCGCGGAGCTCCTAACCATCATGTTCATGCAAACTGTTTATCCTTTTCCCTCGGCGAACAACAACCAAACATCTGACGTCCTGACTTTTTCAATACGCGGTCCCTGGAAGTCCCCACCCCTTCCCTGGGACCGGTTCTTCGTCCTGGGTCGCTTTTTGACGGTTCCGAGGCCCGGCGAGGGCTCCCCGAGGCTGAAAACAGCCCAAAACCGCCCGTCTTAAATTTCTAAGATGCGATCGTGTCTGGGAAGTCCCGACCCTTTCTCCGGGACCGGCTTTTCATCCTGCGCCGTTTTTTCAAGGCCCCGAGGCCAGGCGAGGGCCTCCCGAGGCCGAAAACGGACCAAAACCGTCCGTCCTGTTTCAGGACGCGATCACGTCTGGGTTTTCGTCTGCGAACAACATTGAGCAGGGACCGACCGTCATTGCCATAGGCCTACCACGAAATGTTCTTATGACCCACACATTTTCCAATAAGGAAGACCAGGATTTTATAACGTAAACATGATGTGTTTAAACAAGACAGTCACAGCCATACATATTCTAAGAACATGTCGTAGAAACCGCCAAAAGTTCTTAGAACATTGTTTTGTGGGCCTACGGGCACGCCAAGACGCTCCGCCACTGCTCGACAACAGTCATGAGCACGCCGCCCTCCCCCGCGAGAGCCGCGCGTTCCGAGGGCGGCGGAAGGGCCGCCTCGCTTGCGGTATAGCCGGGATGCAAGGGCCTTGGAAGCCCAGGTCAACGCTTTTCGAACGAGGCCGGCCAGCGAAATTCGCTAATGATGGGCCGAAGGGGCAAGGATGCAAGGGTACCCTTGGGAAGGTCGCCTGTCCTTTCTATGCGGGTTGACTGTACCCGGCGGCGAGCGAGGGGTGGAAGTGAGACGGAGAATGCCTTCGTAGAAGGCGGCGGGACTTCTCAGAATCCCTCGCGCCTTCTGGGAAGTTTTTTCTGCGTCGTCGGGGAAGGCCTTTTCCTTCTCACCTCCCCCCCTCGCGCGCCGCCGAAATTCAGGCACCCTCGGAACGCCCTCGGCAAGGCTCAGCTACTGGAACCGCCGAGAACACCGAACCTCCAATACCTTCAACTTTTCAAAGCGGGGGTCCCGGAAATCCCGACCGCCTTTTTCGCCTCGTGGGTCCTTTCTTGACCGTCCCGGAGCCTGGCCAAGGGCCCCGGAGGCCGAACACGAAAGCACAAGCCCGTCTTGAGTTCTTCGATGCGTTGGAGGTCTGGGGCCGACATAGACTAGACGCCCGAACACACGACGACAGCCCCTCTCGCGTGCCGAGTCCTCGTCCTCGTTTTCGCCCCCGTCGCTGCCGGCGCCCCCGCGGGCGTCCGCGTCCGGGTCCACGTCCAGCCGCAGCTCCGCCCCTGGGCAGCCTCCGAGGCCCACGAGGGCACGCGCTGGTGTTAGAAACGACGTCTTAACACTTACGCGTGGTTTACAACGAATGCCGAGCGCTTATGGACGCCATATTATGCTTGAGAACCAACATTCTATTGAGCGCCAAATTCCAAGCTTCGTTTCGAAAGAGAGAGCTCGAAGGCAAGGTTCTGTATAGCGCGCATGGGGCGCGGTGTGTATAGCGACGCACAAGGCCCATGAGGATCGAGGACCCCCGGTCGAGGATGGTCGAATATGAGGAGGGGGATGAAGGATGAGGAAAATCGAGGATCGGCCATCGAGTATCCGGAAAGACCAAGGATCGAGAAGGAGCGTGGTGGATCGAGGATCGGGGGAATTCGAAGAGTGGGGAGAGGAGGAGAAGGAGGAGAAGGAAGAGGAGGAGGAAGAGGAGGAGGAGGAGGGGAAACAAAGAGAAGGAGGAGTAGAAGTAGGAGTAGGAGGAAGAAGAGGAGGAGGAGGAGGAGGAAAAGGAGGAGGAGGAGGAGGAGGAGGAGGAGGAGGGTGAGGAGGAGGAGCAGGAGGAGAAGGGTGAGGACGAGGAGCAGGAGGAGGAGGAGGAGGAGGAGGAGGAGGAGGAAGAGGAGGCGGAGGAGGAGGAGGAGGAGGGAGAGAAGGAGCAGCAAGAGGAGGAACGAGGAGAGGGTGGATCGAGAAAAGAGGATCGAGAAGGAGGGACATCGAGGATCGATGAGGGCCGGGGAAGAGGGGTAAAGCAGAGCAAGGCAGCCCCGATCGATCATCCGATGACGTACCAGTGGAAAATAAAACGATGCAGCCAGAAACTCCAACTAAGAAAAAAACGCATCGGGCGTTTGAGACCTATCCACGCGGCCCGGAATTATGTCCGGGCCCTGCGGGGGGATGCCCCTGGCGAAAACGAGACCCCCAAACGGGGAACACCACTGGCGGCTTGCCTATGCACTCCACCGCTGTGTGGGACAGAGGCGAAAGCCGAAGAGGCCTGCACCAGCGCAACCCCCTTGGGTCTCGCGACGGGGGGCCGCCCAGGCATCGGACGGACACGAAAATGCCGAGAGACGGCATTCCCCCAAACTGCTCTCAGCGAGGCGCATCCGACGAGGGGCTTCGGCAAGAGCCCGCACCTGCTCGGCGCCGGGAAAAGCCTGACTCGGGGAGGCGCAAAAAACTCCGAGATCCATGGGCTCCAAAGTGCAAGTGGGGATCGGGGCCGACGACCGAGCCTGTAGAAGAAGGAGAGGCCCCTCCTGCAGGAGGCCCTGAAGCCAGAGCTCGGCCGCGCGAGTGCTGCCGTTGATGGCGGTCAACCAAGTGCGGGGGCCTACTCGCCCACGCTTTCCTCGGCCTTGTCTTCGAGGCCGACCTTGAGCAATAGTTTCGCCGCCTCCCTCTCGCGTTTCCGCGCGGCGGGTGCCGTCGGAGATAGCTGACCGCGTGGTCCGTCGTGCCCGCCGCCGGAAGCGTTTGGCTGATGGCGCCCATGACCGTGAGACGGTGGCCGTCTATGTTGTTGGCCTGAAAAGGGGTACTGCCAACACTGTCTGGAACTGAAGCCTGTCGGGCTTGTTCATCTTCTTCTAGTCAACCAACAGGCCTTCAGGCGGAAGTGGCGAACGTGCATCTGCACTCTGCAGCGCCTCTGCAACAGCGATGATCTTCTGCCACCAGTCCTGGAACGACTTCTGAGCCACCGCAGGCGTTGTGTCCTTGCCCTCCGTGCAGGCCGATTTGATAAACGCCTTCCACAAGTGGGGCCAAGGAGGCCCGTGCTTTTGATCCTTGCCGTGTGCCTTGCTGTTTTCCGCGCGCGCGCGGCCCGTGCCCTGTGGGACCTGCGCGACACCGACCCTGCGCCAACCGTGAAGCACGCGCAGCAGGCGCCAGTCACCTCGGCCAACTCGCGCGCGCTGGTGAAACCGAAACGCGCGAACACCGACAGCAGCGCCAGAACTGTCCCTCCCTTGCCCTGCCTCTGGACTGCCGATGCCCCCCCGCGCCCAGGGTCCCCAGCAACATCTGCCGTTTCTTCTCCTTGGCCTCCGAGACCTCGTCGCCCTCGCGCGTGCCGCTCTGCGCTGCTCAGGCGGGCCCCCCCCGTCGGCGCGCGCCAGCAAAACGAGGAGGAGGTCCTCGAAGTGGACTCGTGCATGGATACGAAAAAAGACTCTTGTCGGCCACTTGGGCCTCACAAAGCCGACAGGAGAAGGGGCCCACATGGATCTCTCTTTCTTTTTTTTTTTTTTTTGTTCTCTCTCTCTCTCTCTTTCTCTCTCGAAGGTGGTGACGAGGTGCGCCTTGCAAAACCCCGAAGCGAACGAGTCCAGGACGCGGTTGTAAGACGAATTGTGGCTCCGGTACTTACTCCCGCACACGAAACACGAGTTACCCTGGGCCGCCTCGGCCAACAGGGTTTCGAAACCGTGCGAGGCCCGAACATGAACCAGCTACTGTCAGTTAGTAAGGAATCAGTTCGAGCAACCGTCGACGGAGAATCTGCGGCCCTCCTCATGCCCGAGTGGAACCCCTGGCGGCGATGGCGAGGGGGCCGCAGGGGCCACTGCTCCAGGCGGAGCCACCCTCAGGGCTGAATGGTGGCAAAATCTCAAGCGGGAACCACCTCCCCATGGGGCCGCACTTCATGTTGGTAATCCGACCGGGCCATGCGAAACTATACCCGTCGCCAATTTGGGGTCCTCCAGGCCTGGATATTGAGGAAATCTCAGGCGGGAGCTTCGTCTGTGAGTGAATTGCGACAAAGTCTCGAGCGGGAGCTCCCTTCCTATGGGGCCTGCAGCTCTACGTTCGAATCCGACCGAATCTTCGGGATCTCGGAGCTGTCTGTCGTCACTGTTGGGCTCCTCGCGAACCAGGCCAATCCGAACGGGGCAACATTTATGTTCTTACAAAGGCCACTCGCTCGACCCATCAGATGAAGAGGAAGAGGATGAACAGGAATAGAAGAAGACGACGGCGGCCGGGCGAAGGGGGAAACCCTTGCGTCACGGCCACGGGCCACGGGTGGTGACCCATCCTCGGCCGAAGCGGGCGCGGGGGGAAACCCTTGCGTCCAGGGCGCCCGTGGTGAAACATCAGCGGCCGACTCGGCGGCAGGGGGAACCTCGTCTCCGGGCTGGCGGTGGTAACCCATCGTCAGCCGAATCGGGCGCAGGGGGGGAGCCCTTGCGTCCGGGCTGGCGGCGGTAACCCATCCTCAGCTCGCGGCGGATGTCGGTTTCGTGCTGGCCCCGCGTGAGCGCGGCCGCGACTAGCTCGAAAACTACGGGGCTGTCCCAACGGTTGGCTTCCGCGCCCGAGCGGCTCGCGGGGCTGTCCCAACGGCCTCGCCCGCGGGGCTTCCCCAGTGGCTTCGCGATCGGGCGATCGGCGAACGCGCCCCTGCCAGCCGCGGCGGCAGCGGCGCCAAAGAACATCGGCTTGCCCCGGCCAGGAAGCAGGGGAGATGCCTGGGGAGTACAGGCAGGAGGAGGCTGGTATAGGGAGACTGAGGAGGATGGCGAGGGGGGAAGGAAGAGAAGGAGGAGGAGGAAAAGGGGAGGATAAGGAGAAGGGGAGGACGAGAAGGAGGAGAAGACAGAGGGCAAAGATGACGAGGAGGAGCAGGCGCAACAGTGGGCGGGATGAGAGCCTGGCCTCTGCAGAGCGAATGGGAAAAACGAGGGGCAAGTAAAATAGATTATCATGCAGGGTCCTACCGCCTGAGGGAATTTACGACGCGATCATGTCTGGGGTCGGTGCAACCGACCCCGCTTTTCCGCGTCGCTCACGTGCTCGACACATTCCAAACCCTACCCCCACTGCCACTCGAGCTGCTCGTTGCACTGATAACCTGGCTGAGGGTTCCTGTCCCGACGTCTGTGTGAGAGCGAGTCCGAGCGGACGACGGGTACGGCGACGACGGCGACGATTACGATGAGAGTTAACGAAGACAACAATGAAGACCCACAGAAATCCACGAGCGAGATAAGCCGCCTGAGAGACATCCCCAGAATCTGGGCGCGAACGGGAGAATGAAACTACCCCTGTCGGCTCCCCCTTGGGATGCTCAAACCAGCGCCTCGCTCGAGACATCCTCACGATCTGCTCTGAAAGCAGGAGCCAAGGCAATCAAACAGGCAAACCGCCTGAGACACCCACACAATCTGGGCGCGACCGGTGCCGTGCGACCACCCATGGCGGCTCCCCCTTGGGATGCTGGATTCAGCGCCTTGTTCGAGACATCCTCACAATCTGCGAGTCTGGGTGCGAGTGCCTCGCAAGTCCAGGTGCGAGTGAGCCTGAGCGTGATTGAATCCGAGTGTGACTCTGAATGTGAGTAAGTTTGATTGCGAGGGGTTCTGAATAGTTATGAGTGAGTCTGAGTGGGAGCGAATCTGAGTGCAAGTAAGTAGTAGGATGAGTGAGTCTGAGTGCGCGTGATTCTGAGTATGAGTGTGCTTGAGTGGGGACGAGGAGCATGCGAGTGGCTCTGGATGTGAGCACGTCCGAGTATGAGTGAGTCTGAGTATGAGTGAGTCAGAATGTCAGAATGAAGAGAAAGTGAGCAAGTCTGAGTGAGAGAGTGAGTCTGCGTACGAGAGAATCTGAGTCTGGGGAGGAGGAGGAGGAGGAGGAGGAGGAGGAGGAGGAGGAGGAGGAGGAGGAGGAGGAGGAGGAGGAGTGGGGTCAGACGGAGGTGAGGTGTCAGTCGGAGGCGTCTGAATAGACAGACCTGGCGCTGGCTGGCGGCACATAGTAACAATAATCACTACCATCTTGAGATGTGGGGAGCCAGGTCGTCGGAGATCTGGGGGCAGACTCCAGACCCCCCTCCCCGCACCCCCCTCTCGTTCTTTAGGAGCCCGCGAAAGACGTGCGCGCCCAGCAGCGCACACGACCACGGCCCACCAATCGCCCCCCCCCATCGCACCGTCCGCGAGGCCTGCCGCGTGTTGGATACCCTCGAAGCCCACGGCTACGCGTGCGTCTTGGTGCC